GTTAGAGGGAAAAAATGAACTTAGAAAATCCCTTGCTTGTGGGAAGCTTCTACCTTCTTCCTCTCCTTCCAGCARATTGCTCCTTATCAGCTAAAATCAGGGTCCAACCTGTGGAAATGTTTACAGTCTTCAAATCTAAAACCATTGAAAATCACTTATCAGCCAAATATTCCCTAAATACAAGGCAGGCTTACCAGATATCTCTGCTCTTCTCATGATAGCTCCCTTCCAAATAYCTATATTCTGTATTATATTGAGGGAGTAGCAAAAGTTTCCCCTATTTTTTCCCCTAATTTTGCAATAGACATCAAAACAAGATAGTGGGCACTTGTTAACTGGAAATGATTCATTAGGTGAAGGTTTTATCAGGTATTTTTGTTGCTGTTTTGCTGGGAGGGATCACAGCCAGCCTGTATGGAATTCTAGTGCAGTGAATCCTCTTTACACACCTCAGCTGCCCAGGGAACCCTCCCTTCCCACCACTGGCATTCCTTCAAAGGGGATCCCACACTGYTCCTTGGCCTAATAATGGGCCAGCATAAGAGGAATAAACACCAAATGGAAAGTACAAGCTGGGATGTCTTCCTTGAGTGTTTCTTCRTCACCCCAAAGCTACAGGAGGGAGTCTGAGGAGTGGAAGTGGTTTTGCTAATGACAAAGAGACAGCTACACACTGACAGGCTTGGAATTCCTTGGTGTCAAGGCATGGAAAAGCTCCTAGAACTGGTAAATGCCAGAGAGCCAGAAATAAGACTTTAGAAATTCAAGTGCCTTTYGAAAGGCAAGCGAAGGAGCCCAGAGCCCAGCCCAGCCAGGTCAGGCAGAACCACATTGGCCTTTCTGGCCTCAAAGGCTCAAGTGAACCATCTCCAGCAACTGCCACAGCAGTTCAGGATTATTCAGCTTCTTTCCCCTCCTTAATTTCATCCCCATCCTGCAACTGTTATCCTTTTGAGGACAGGAATGACTTTCACATTATTTATATCACCCTTGAAAAACCCTAAGCCTGTCCCCCTCTAACACATCTCAGTGGGATAAGAAGAAATAGGTTCAAGCTGTGCCCCAGGAGGTTCAGGCTGCACATTGGGGCAAATTCCTTCATGGAAGAGTTGTAAAGCATTGGCACAGGAAATGGGCATCGCCATGCCCTGAAATGTTTAAAAACCTTGTGGATGTGGCACTTGAAGACGTGGTTCAGTGGTGAACATGGCAGTGGTGCTGTGCTTGCGAATCACATGGTGATTGCAAGGTCTTTTCCAGCCTTATCAGTTCCATGATTYGACACAGCCTGATCATTTCTGCTTAACAGAAATGTGGCTTTACCCATCACATCTCCAGCCTGCCCTCCTTCCAGACCTGCTGCCACAGGAGCCCTCTCAGCTCTGCACAGCTCTGAGAATCCATGCCATGCTCACACGAACCCAGCTCACTGTCAGCACCTTGGGAGAGGTTACAAAAGCTGGGCCATCACCAAATTTGATGGACTGAARGCAAGACAACAATGTTTGAAGTGAAGGGGAAAGTGAATCATCCAGAGTGATAACCAGACCAGGATAAAAGCTGTAAAAAACATCACTTGCTTGGCCCTTAGCTCTTCACTGAACTCCAGCTGCATGAAACAGCCCAAAATTGAGCTACACATCAAAATTAAGATGAATTCACCTTGTAGAAGTGCTGGGGCTGGCAGATGCTTCGTTTCAAATCATTCCCCACCCCACTGCAGCTCCCCAAACCCTGCACCCTGGGGCACAGGACTTGCTACTCATTTCTCTGCTCCTTTACTCCTGGTGGCAACTTCATTGCAATGTAAAAGAAATTTAACAAGGGTTAAACGCAGATGAAAAATAGAAATGGACTGAAAATATATTAATTAATCTGTGGTAGCCCCTGCCCACTCCCGAATCAGCTCATCACTTCAGCTCTGCACTTCTTGAACAGATGGGATCTTCTGGCAACCTTTAAACCACTCAGCAGCATTTTCTCCCATAACAAAGCAARCTAATTACTAGAGTAAGATGCTATTTGCCATCTATTTTTCTGCTATTTTTAAGGAATCAGGTTGCTGTCTGACTGGGGATTTGCAGTGAAGCCMTCAAACAGCAAAATTAAATGCACAYTGGTACAATGGCACAGAAYATGCCCAATGAACTTCACAAGGATCTTGCTCATCAAATGCTTCTCCYTTTCCCTTTAGGAAACAAAGGATCACGGATGCAAAGAAACCAACCCTTAGCATTGGCTTCACCTGCTGGATCCCTAAACACAGCACAGCAAAGGCTGCTCCACAGACCAACTCTTTTCTAAAAGAKTCCAAAATAACTTTTTTCCAACTTGAGGATAWTTTTTTCCAAAAGCAACAATTTTCTTGTTGACCCTGTAAGTGTTTTGCTCAACCACAGCATTTGCTTGCTAGGCTGTGCATGTTTTTTCCAAGGTAACTTCTTGCCTTTAGCATCTTCAAGATATCTGGAAATCAATGTCAAAATTATAAACTTTCCAAATTCTTTCAGGAAAGCTTCTAAAAATGGCTGCAGAAGATTACAAGACTTAGATTAATTTGATTAAGAAGCATTAAAAAAGCCTGAGCTACRGCAATGCCAGTTCAGACACTTGGATGAGTCCCAGGCACCCAAGGAAGTTAAACACTCTTACAAAAAAAAGGCAATATTCAGCACCTCTGAACACACAAAGAGCTGCAGAGAGAAGCCAACAGATTTTGTAATAACTAAGCAAATTTAGTAGTTTTTTTTAAGTGGTAGGTTTGTGATTCAGTGGGTATTTGCTGAGTGGCAAATAAACCAAAGCAGCTAGTTACGTGTTGCCTAGCTGCAGCCTCTAATAGGAATTGCTTCCCTGCAGGTAAATCACTTTCTATTACTCCTAAGTACCCCAGGAAAAATACTAATTGAAAACACCATTCTAAYACTGTCCAGCTGGAAAACATTAACTTAGGAAGGAACTAGTTTGACACTGGCTGCCAACTGGCTATGGACAATGGAACAGGAAATTAATCTCTTGCAGACAAGACATCCCGTTTTCTGCTTCTCCTTTGTAACCTTCAAATCAACTTGTCATTAACAAACAGCTTTGATTCCCATGGGGAAAGAAAACCATCAGTGAATTCATGATAATGAGTAAGTCTGGCTTTCTTGCATTAAAATGAAGACTCAAATTTCGACATAGTGGCTGCCAGAGGAACTGGAGGGCAGATACAATATACAACAACGCAGTAACATTTCCCTTTTTTCTTGGCTCAAAGTTAAAGAACAGCCAAACCACAAAGCAACCACACAGAAAAAGGCAGTTGTCCAATTCTGTATTGTCCCAGCCCATCTTCCTGCAGCTCCCTCCTTCTGAGAGCTTTTTCCCATGCAGGTGCAAAAGGGATGAGGAGAAAAACCCGAGTTGCTGCTGATGTTAAACCACAACACCCCATAGGGCAGGAGAGTCTTTGCTTCGGCTTCTTCCAGAGGTGTCTCCAAGGAGGGGTCCAGACACTCAATTACCTGAATTACTGAGAACCTCTGCAAAACTCASTTTAGTTTCACTGTGTTCCAAACCAGGGACAAGACAGGATGAAAGGAAACAGCCTAATGCTGCACCAGGACAGGTTTAGGCTGAAATGAGGGAAAATTTCCTGACAGAAAGGGAAAGGAAAGGGCTGGAGCCCCCATCCCTGGAGGGATTTGAAAGCCATGGCTGTGGCACTTGGGGACATGGGGCAGTGCTGGCCTGGRCAATGCTGGGGGTGGTTGGAATCAATAGACTTTTCAGGGCTGTTCCAACCTCAATTATTCTGTGATTCAATATACTGAAAAGCTGGTTTTACACAATGTCCACCCAGAACATGGTGCAGGACACCAACCAAGTGGAGAGGTATTACAGCTTGCCATGACAGACMATATTTACACATAAATGAGGAGCAGCTAAAGCTCCTGGTGGCATTTCCTGATACTTAGGCCRAGACTTCAACATTCCTACTCACCAAACAGAAGTTTTGGGATCAGACTGTTTTCCTGTGCTCTATAACAATTAAAATGCATGTATTTTWAAAGGAAAACCAGAACTAGCTCGCTTGCTACAGTAAGAGAATGCGAGAAACTTTGTGTGGGGTTAATCACAGAATCCCAGAATGGTTTGGGTTGGAAGGGATCTGAAMGATCACCCAGWGCCACCCCATCCATGGCAGRGACCCCTCCCACTGTCCCCAATGTCCAGCCTGGCCTGGGCACTGCCAGGGATGGACACCCTGAGCCAGGGCCCAACACCCCACAGGGAACAATTCCTGCCCAATATCTGATCTACATCTACCCTTTGTAACCTGAAGGCCTAATGAAGAAAACTACAAAAAAACTTAAGTCTAAATAAAATAAAACAATCCAGCTGCCTTACATGAGAAAGAAAAATAATCAGTGGTCTCAGGTTCTTACTGGTCAAAGCATCACATCAAAAGGACCTTTGAATTAATTAATCACCTTTTAAATAAGCTTTTCCTAAAAATCCAGCATGTTGTGCATAAGAATATTCCAGCCTGGTGTACAACAATGATTCCTTCAAGCTCCTATTTGCTAATCACAAGATACACTGGAAYATATATTTTTAATTAGAAATATGTTAACATTATTACAGTACACAGATGTGATTATATTCACTTTTTTTTTGAGATATCAGAGGAAAGGGTTTCAATTTGCAGTACCTACAACTCTTTGCAGCCCAACATTTTCTGGGGTAAAGCTGAATTCTTCCCTATTACAAAGCACAAAAATGAACAAGGCAAACCCAACACTTCAAACCCAACATCAGTGTAACTTTAATCTGAACCAGCCCAAAAATTACAAGTGAAWATCTGAAGGGATAAAAGCAAATTAAAATGGCACCTGTTGGACCTCCTGGACTTACAGTTTCTTGCAGGTRTATAACAAATGAGAGGATTTGGGGTTATTGTGTTAAATATCCATGGTTAATCGTGATGAGCACCATCCCAAAGCCCCAGCTCTCACCTTTATGCTTCCCCCAATGAGATCTGGTGGCTCTTCATCTGTTTCTAAGGCAACGTTGATGGAGGCGAAGGGGCGACTTGCCATCTGTTGCATCTCACGCAGTAGTTGCTAATTTAATAAACAGAAAAATAATATCATCACATTGTTCTGACACAAAGATGAACGACAAATGTATCTAAAAGGTTTTGCCCAATACAAAGGGATATCAATGAATAYGAAAAATAACCCCAGGGGTTTTAATGGGCTTAAGAGTACAGATAATGGAAAATATTCACATTACTACAATTTCCAAGTTATTGGAGGTAAATCTGAATGCACAATGTGAGCCTGACACATCTGGGAGGAAAAACAATCTGACTGAGTCTCCATAAAGCAGTTATTTACTTTTTAAGCTGCTGCTTGTCATCACCTGTCTGATGCCTATTCCACAGGATTTGTGGGAATAATTTTAAAATTAATCTAGCAACAGTATGCAACTGCTATAAGAATGAAGTTGCTATTTTTTATAACAGCACAAGCAAAATGCTGTCAGGCTTCTATTGAGTAATCCTCTTTTTTTATTGTTTCCTTGCTGAATACAGCAAATGTATCAAATGGCAAACATGTCCTTATTGCAAAACGTTTTATTAAAATAAAAAACCTTTTCCTGGGCAAATCCCCACAAGCCCTCATAACACAAGACATCATTTTATTGTGCTCTTAAGCACTTTCGAAGCATTATGATGCAGCTTCTCCTTTTTAACAGACAAAAAATAGCCACATYCTACACAGCTGGGCTGGAAACAGCATTTGTTTCAGCTGAGCTGGGGTCACACTTCTCTTTGGCTGCAGTGATTAATCTCTAGCAGTAACAACACAGCCTGTAAGGGGAGGCAGGATTCCCTGGAGCARGGGGTCCAATGGGACTCGATGCCTCTGTTTAATAAGGGAAGAGGCAAATATTTTGTGAAGCATGTGAAAAACCAGTGCTCTTAACCTTAAATGCAAAACCAGCTTTGCACATTTACCATCACCACCTATTACTGCAGTACGAGTTATCCTCTGCTTTTAGGCTGTACTGAGGCACCACCAAACTCTCTCTAGAATTCCCACCTGGATTTTCCCATTAATTCTGGGAAATCTGRCACTCCAAGACCAAACTGATCATTTACAGCACTCAAAAAGTGCTAAAGAAAACACCACAAAACGCATAGTTCCCCAAATATCCCCCATCCAGCACAGCAGAAGCTGCAAAGAAGGTGCCATTATCCAGCAACATTGTTTGGACAGAACTAATTCACAGAAYCACTGAATCCCAGAACGGTTTGAGTTGGAGGGATCATCTGCTTCCATCCCCTTCCCAGGCATCAGCTCCTGCCCATCCCTCCTGTCACTGCTGACCCCTGGAGCAGAGTCCTGCTCGGAGCCCTCCCTGCACCTGGGGACACCTGGGGACAGCCAGGGACACCTGGGGACAGCCAGGGACAGCCAGAGACAGCCAGGGACAGCCAGAGACAGCCAGGGAAACCTGGGGACAGCCAGAGACAGCCAGGGACACCTGGGGACAGCCAGGAACAGCCAGGGACACCTGGGGACACCAGGGACAGCCAGAGACAGCCAGGGACACCTGGGGACAGCCAGGGACAGGCAGGGACACCTGGGGACAGCCAGGGACACACAGGGACAGCCAGGGACACCTGGGGACAGCCAGGAACAGCCAGGGACACCTGGGGACACCTGAGGACACCTGGGGACACCTGGGACACACAGGGACAGCCAGAGACAGCCAGGGACACCTGGGGACACCAGGGACAGCCAGAGACAGCCAGGGACACCTGGGACACCTGAGGACACCTGGGGACAGGGCTGGGGCTCCTCTGGACTCGGAGCAGCCCCGGCCCCCTCAGCCTTTCCCCGGCCCTTCCTCACCCCAGAGCCCCCCCTGTCCTGCAGGAGCTCCCTGTCCCTGTCCCTCCTGTCCCTGTCCCCCCTGTCCCTCCTGTCCCTCCTGTCCCCGCTGTCCCTGTCCCTCCTGTCCCTGTCCCTCCTGTCCCTGTCCCTGTCCCTCCTGTCCCTGTCCCCCCCTGTCCCTGCTGTCCCTCCTGTCCCGAGCTGTCCCCAGCACTGCAGGGCTGTCTCAGGATCCATCTCTGATCTGCTGCCAGCGCTCCCCTGATGCCTCCTTGGCCCCGAGACACACTGCTGGCTCAGGGACA